CCGTGACCAGGAGAACCAGGGAGAGCCCCTGGTTCTCCTGGTCACGCCCCCAAATGGGCTGCTCCAGAGACGCATGGGACTCTGGTGGAGGGGGTGGTCCCAGCCCTGGCCCTTGGCTGGAGGGTGCCTCAGGAGGCGGGGCGAAGGGCTCATGCCTCCTTCCTGTCAGTGGGGGTGACTGGGGGTGGGATTGTGCACCCACACAGGGGAAGGAGAGCCGGAGCTTAATGCCTCCCCTGCCTTTCCCTACCCTCGCCTCTGCTCTCCCCGTCCCCTAGCTGACCTATGCCCTGTTTCCTGGGAAAGTGAACATCACCCCTAAGTCGCCCAGTCCCATGGGCCGATTGCACACACAGGGACAGAACTTTCTGGTTGGCTGGCGCGAGGCAGGATTGTGTGGGCACGAGGGTTGAAGAGTTGGAGGCGGGGCCTGGCCAGTGGCTCACTCAGCTGCCCTGGGGCCAGCACTCTGCACTGTGCCCTGTCCCCCTCTGCCCTCCCCTCCCCTCCCCATCCCCCTTCCCGATCACCGGTGTCTTTGGGCTGCCAATCTCCAGAAGACTTCCGCCTGCCTGAACCTTCTCACTCACTCACGCTTTGTTCATTGGTAGTTGGGCCACCCAAGGGCCCAGCTGGCCCACCTCTGCTCGCCCCTGCACGGCCAGCAGCCTGAGACCTCTGTCTGTGTGTGGCACCGAGACTCCGGGTGGCCTGTGGGTCAGTGGCCGTGTGCTCTGCCATCTCCGCTGCCCTTGCTGAGACCCAGTGCTGGGTGGGGAAGCTCCAGCGGCCGCTGCCAAAAGCTTCCCATTGTGCGTGTGTGCTTGTGTGTGCATGTGTGCTTGTGTGTGTGTGTGTACGTGTGTGAGTCCATGCATGTGTGTGCATGTGCATGTATGCATGTGTGTGTGTGCGTTTGTGCATGTGTGCGCGTGCACGTGTGTGAGAGAGTGAGCGAGAGTGAGAGTGCGAGCACACGTGACCTTCCACCGGTACCCTTTATTTAGGGTGGCTGTGATATGGCTGATTTTGTTTCCATACAAAGGTACAAAGGTACAAAGACTCCTGTGGCAGGCACTATAGGGCAGCAGAGAGGGCACTGGCCTTGTGTGTGTGGTCTGCTCCGGTTCCATCCCTGGCACCACCAGGGCCCCCTCGAACTTCACCAGGAGTAGCCCTGAGCACTGCCAGGTGCGCCCCCCAAAAGTTTTGAGAAAATTATGTGGTGGAGGAAACTCCCATCTCCTGCACTCGTCTCCATTTGGCTTTCTGTGCCTGACGCTTTGTGTTCTGTCTGGGGGCCGTGCCCGTCGGTGCTGGGGACCAGTTTCAGGCTCAGTGCTTAGGAGTGGCCCCTACAGTGCTCACTTGGAGCAGGCTGGCAGGTGCTCTGCACCCATGGCGGTTTGGTTTACTTAACAGAATTTAGATTTCCCTTCCCCTTTGTTTTCATTAGGGCTGGAGCGATAGCACAGTGGGTAGGGCGTTTGCCTCACGTGCGGGTCGGCTGACCCGAGTTTGATTCCTCTGCCCCTCTCAGAGAGCCCGGCAAGCCCGGAGAGTATCTCGTCCGCATGGCAAAGCCTGGCAAGCTCCCCGTGACGTATTTGATATTCCAAACACAGTAACAAGTGTCACAATGGAGATGTTACTAGGCCAGCTCGAGCAAATCGATGAACAATGGGAGGACAGTGATAGTGACAGTTGTTTCCATCATCCTCTCTCCAGGGCCTGGGGTGTGGCTGGGGCTGAGCCTTAGTTGGCTGTGTGCGCTGTCCCCCCTGCTCTGATCTTGCTCTGGCCCCTGTTGTTATGGTTTTTGGGGCCACACCAAATGATGCTCAGGACTTGCTCTTGTCTCTGTGCTTAAGAATCACTCCTGGGTTGAAATAATAGCACAGCGGGTAGGGCGTTTGCCTTGCATGCGGCCGACCTGGATTCGATTCCCAGCATCCCATATGGTCCCCCAAGCACCGCCAGGAGTGATTCCTGAGTGTAGAGCCAGGAGTAACCCCTGAGCATCGCTGGGTGCGACCCAAAAAGAAAAAAAAAAAGAAGAATCACTCCTGGCAGTGCTTGGGGACCATATGGGGTGCCAGGGATGGAGCCTGGGTCAGCCACAGGCCAGCAAGCGCCCTCCGTCCTATTGTTCCAGGCCCACCATTCGTGGTTTTGCTATACAGTGATGCCCGCTGCACCCCCAGGGTGCCCGGACCACCCCCTTGCCCAGGGCTTCCAGCCGCCTCCTCCCTCCCCGCCCCTCGACTCCAGCTTCTTGGTGAAGATGGGGACAGTGATGGCAAGAGTCGGGGTGCTCGGGTGTGGCTGCCTCCCTCCCTGCCTCCCCGGCCTTCCCCAGTGGCTCGAACTCACCCCCTGTCCCCAGTCCCCATCCCTTGGTGCTTTGACTGTCTGCTCGGGGACAGCTGTTTTCTCACTGGCCATGGAGCACATGCAAGCTGCAGCCAGCTCTGAGGGAGGGCGGCTGTTGCCCACAAGAGCGTCTCCTGCAGGTCCTTAGCCCGCGCCGAAGGAAGGGCTGATGGCGCTCCAACAAACACATGCCCACGGGGGTTGAAACAGGAAGTCCCTCCCCAGTGTCTGGCCACTGCTCCCTGTCCAGCAAGGGCCTTGGGGGTTCCCGTGCTCCCCAGCCGAACCTTCGAGATGGCCTTGCCCAGCCCCGGGGGCGACAAGCCTGTCCTACTGTGCCCCCATCACTTGGTCCCCAGCGATGGGTCCTTGGGGACAAACCCTCTCTGGAGACACTGGGTGGCGGCACCTGGGGCCCCTCTCACGGCATGGGGTGCTCCAAGGCTAGTGCTCTCCTCCAGAGGCCAGTGCTCTGGGAGCAGCCTGGCCTGTGTGCCGGGCAGCAGGGGTGTGGAGTTAGGGCCACTTCCTGCCACAGCTGCAAGGGCCTCCTTGGGCCCCCCACGGCTCTCTCCCTCCTTGAAGGAAGCATGATCCCCACCAGCTCTGCAGTGAGTCACTCCCACCAGGAACATTTCTGGGGTTTAGGGGTCACACTTGGTGGTACTCGGAAGCTGTCAGCTAGTGCTCAGAGTGCCCAGCCTGACTTCCCTGGCCCAGATCTCAGTCAACTCACGACAAGCACCCCCTGAGCTTGGGCCCGTCTCGCTAGTCTCCGTGCCTGGGCAGGTCCCACTTGGCCCCGAGCTGAGGGGAGCGAGGAGCCGACTGTGGGGGCTGGGGTCTGCCTGTGAAACGCTGTCGCTGCAGTGTGAAGTGTGGCAGCTTCCAGAACAGTAAAAATAGAGTTCCCACGTGGTCGCCAGCTCCCTCCCTCAGCCTGTGCCTGGAGATGCCAGCATCTTCCCTGGCCAGTGGGCACATGGCGTTGGCGGGGCCCATCAGCTGTGTCTGGTCAGCTTGTGTCTGGTCAGCCTGTGTCTGGGTTGTCTCCATGTCCACTCAGCTCTTTGTCCACTCAGCTCTTTGTCCACTCTGTTCTGTGTCCACTCAGTTCTGTGTCCACTCAGCTCTGTGTCCACTCAACTATGTGTCCACTCAGGTCTGCATCCTCTCAGCTCTGTGTCCACTCAACTATGTGTCCACTCAGGTCTTTGTCCACTCAGCTCTTTGTCCACTCAGCTCTGTGTCCACTCAGTTCTGTGTCCATTCAGCTCTGTGTCTACTCAGCTCTGTCTCCAGTCAGCCTGTGTCCCGTCAGGCTGTGTTTGGTTTGCCTCCATGTCCAGTCAGCTCTGTGTCTGGTCAGCTTTATATCCAGTCGGCTCTGTGTCCACTCAGCTCTGTGTCCGGGTCAGCTTTGTGGCCTGGTCATCTCTGTGTCCAGTTAGTTCTGTGTCCAATCAGCTCTGTGTTCAGTCGGCTATGTCCGGGTCAGCTGTGTTCAGTTAGCTCTGTGTCCACTCAGTTCCTGTGTCCACTCAGCTCTGTGTCCGGTCGGTTCTATGTCTGATTGGCTCTGTGTCATCTCTGTGTCCGGGTCAGCTCTATGGTCAGGTCAGCTAGATCCACTCAGCTCTGTGTCTGGGTCAGCTCTGTGTCTGGTTGGTTCTATGTCCGGTTGACTCTGTCCAGTTGGCTCTGTGTCCACTCAGCTCTGTGTCCAGTTGCTTATTTTCGGTCATCTGTGTCCAGTCAGCTCTGTCCAATCAGGTTTGTCTGTTCAAGTATGTCTGGTGTCCCATTAGCTCTGTGTCGGGTCAGCTCTATGTCCAGTTGGCTCTGTGTCCAGCTGCTCTGTTTTTGGTAATTTGTTGTTCAGTCAGCTCTGCCTAGTCAGGTCTGTGTCCACGCCCTCAGGGGGACAGAGTTGTGTAAGTTGTGTAAGTGCAGGAGTCGACCCCTCACGCGGAGTAACGAGGCGGCCAGCAGAGTTGGGGCTTGAGAGTCTGGAAGGAGCCTGAGGAGGGAGCCCGCTGGGGACCCTCGGTCCTGGCCGACCTGCGCGTTGGACATATCTGGGCACATGGGAAACGCACACACTGTTGCTGAGCAAGGACACGGCGGCCTTTCCTGGGCAGTGCTGCCAGCACTGAGGCCGCGGGTGGTGTGAGGAAATACTGGCGTTGCATGTGGCACCCGGCGTCACTCTGCAGACAGGCTGAGGCCGCGTCTCAGCTGCTGAGCCGGCCCATGGGTCCTTGAGAGCAGCATAGCACTTCTCCCCATGGACCCGTGAGGTGCTGTCAGGGCTTCTTCAGAATTCATGTGTGCAAGATGGTTGTAGAAGGACAGGCAGACTGATAGCATTCTCTGTTCAGGGTTGTTTGGCGGTGAGAGAAATTCCAGCTGATGTTGAAGCAAGTGAACCCGTGAGCCTGTGCTGGGGTCCGCAATGTGTCCCCGTGTTCCCAGATCCTGGAACTTGAGCCTTCTCTGACCCGTCACTTCCTGTGTGCCCAGAGCTCGAGTCTGTAGACTGACACTCGCTGGAGTGATGCCATGCGCTCCGTCCAGAACATTCTGCGGCTTCACCAGCCTGCCTCATGGGTCACCTTTTCTTTCAGTGCCCGAAGACCTGTCATTGGAAGAGAGAGAAGAACTTCTGGACATCCGTCGGAGGAAAAAGGAACTAATTGATGACATTGAGGTAGGAGGGGCTATGCATTTTTAAAAATTTTTTATTTATTTTTATTTTTGGGTCACACCCAGTGATGCACAGGGGTCATTCCTGACTATACTCAGGAATTACCCCCGGAGGTGCTCAGGGGACCATATGGGATGCTGGGAATCGAACCCGGGTTGGCTGAGTGCAAGGCAAACGCCCCACCCGCTGTGCTGTCGCTCCAGCCCTGGGGCCGCGCATTCTTGCTCTGGTCTGAAGGCCCGCGCACGTGTGTATGTGTGCACACGTGTATGCAAGTGCGTGTGTGCACATATGCATACGTGTGTGTACATGCCTGTGTGTGCGTGTGTGCATGTGTATGTGCATGAATGTGTGTGTGTGTGCACGTGCCATGTGCAGAGGCGCCTGAGTCACAGAATGGAGATGATGAGGCCGGGCTGGCGTCAGTGGACAGTTTCGGGGCTCCCAGTCCCCCACGCTGTGGTCCTGGCACCTGCCTTGCAAGAGCTTTGCGAGGCGTGAAGGCGCTTCCCTGACCACACTGGGCAGTGTTGCCCCAGGCCTCATGTCCTAGAGCAGGTGTCCAGACAGGCGGTCGCTCCTTCCTGGGCAGGCCCCGGGGCTGGGGTTTCCTGGCGCGCTGTCCTTGTGTCCTTCCGAAGTGTCCTTCCCCCTGGCGGGGCTGGCTGGCGTGGTGGAGCCTTGGGGGAAATGCTCAGATGGAGCAGCTCAGAGGGGGCCTGAGCTGTGGGGTCCTGGTTTCCCTGCCTGACTCTGGCCAGGAGCGTGGGGCCGGCTTGGCACCTGCTCTGTGCTGGGGGGACCGACATGGGGGCCACGGACAGACAGCCCTGCTTCGGGGTGGGGGTGGGGGCGCTCCCTCTGGCTGTTCTTGTCTTTCGAGTGTGTGTGGCTCCCCGAGGCTGCCCCAGGCTTCCTCATGGCCCCTCGGCCCCGCCGACGAGCTCAGCTGAGCCCTTAGCTCATGTGCTTCTCCCTCAGAGACTGAAGTACGAGATCGCGGAGGTGATGACGGAGATCGACAACCTGACTTCGGTGGAGGAGAGGTACAAGAGGGCCGAGGGCAGAGGGCAGAGGGCATGGGGCTGGTGGTTGATGGGCCGGGAAGGTTGCGGCCTTGCTGTGCTGTGAGCATGGAGGTGACATTCTTGTTCACTTCACTGCGCAGTAAAACATCCCAGAGGAACAAGCAGATCGCCATGGGCAGGAAGAAGTTCAACATGGACCCCAAAAAGGTAGGCTGGTGCGGGGGTTGCTGCTGGGGTCTGGTGGCTCTGCCTTTTGGCTCTGGGCCCTTACTCCTGAGGTCATGTCAGGCTTTGTGAGTCAGGACTGGCCCTTTGAGTGGCCTCATGGGCCCCCGGTGGTGGCCGGGCTGGGGCCTGTTGGGGCGTCGCTGTTCTTGGGTGGGGCAGCGGAGTGGGTCCAGGTTCACTTTCTGGGCTTCCTGGTCGTGGGGCCTCAAGGGTGAGTCAGACAGAGGAGCCAGAGGTGGAAGCGCCCACGGAGCTGGAGGGACACCGTGCTCAGGGGCACTGGCCAGACTGATGCGGGTCTGGACACATATACGCACCCCCCATAGACACACACACAGACACACACACCACAGACATACCACACACAGACACATCACAGACACACAGCCCCTCACAAACACATACACATACACACAGACACAGACACCCACACCACAGACACATAAACACACACACAGACCACATAGACACACAAACAGACACACACCACACACACAGACATACGACACATACCACACACGGATACACACATGTACATACACACAGAGATAAAGATATGCAGACACACAACAGACACAAACAGACATGCACACAGACACAGACACAAACACAAAGACACAGACACATGCAGACACACACAGACACAAACACAAAGGCACACAGATACACAGACACAGATACACAGACAACCCTTACAGACACACACACGTATGCATGCACACCCCACACACAGACGCACATACCCCCCCCCACATACACTGCACACACAAACACACACACACACAGATACACCTCACACAGTCAGACACACACCATGCTTCTGCCAGCCCTGTGGGGAGCCCGAAGTGAGCGTTTGCAGCTGGGCTGGGTCCAGATTCCTTCTGGATCTTTCCATGGCCCAGTGCCACCCCATGGCCTTGGGAAGAATGGACATTTGGCGCTAAGGTGTGTCCGTGCCTACCCCAGCGGCCAGTGCCCGCGTGCTGGGAGCAGCCTCGGCCCCTCATTCCCGCTGCCCGAGTGCCTGCTTGCCCCCCCCCCCCTCCCCCGCTACTCGGCTGTCACGTGCGGGTCATGCTGCGCCCCCTCCCCCGCCCCCTCCCTCCATGCTCATGGTCCTGGCCAGCTGGGCAGCGGCTCTGTGAGGCCTGGGGCCGGGTGCGGCCCTCCCGTCACAGCCATGCTGTCTCCATCCTTGGGCCCCAGCGGCGACCTCAGAGCTTACTCCAGCGGTTCCTGCAGGCCCTGTGCCATGCTGGGAATCTGCCTTTCCTGCTACCCTCTCTCTCTGGCCACCAAAATTTTGGTCTTTGCGCTCGGTAACCCTCGGCCCCTCGAAGCACAGTGCTTGGGAGTCACTCCTGGAGGTGCCGGAGGCCCTGCTCCTGCGGCTCTGGCCAGAACCTCGCATTGAGGCTTGGAACCCCCAAAGCCACTCTGGGGCAGTTCTCCGGATTCACATCTGCTCGAAGAACTTTGGAGTGTCCCCGAATCCAGCCCCCACGCAGGTTTCCTGAAAACTGCCAGGGAGCATGGGAACATTTCTTTAGAACCTTCTAGGGCTTCCATTCCTGCTCTCGTGTCAAGGCTGGGGACAGTGAGTCCAGGACATGCTGTATCGGCAAACCCCCACCCTGAGTGGTGTGTAGGCGGAAGGCATGGACGGATGGACGGATGGGCAGATGGGTGGACAGACAGACGGGCGAAGGAGGCTCCACAGACTGTTTGCGTTCCTCACCCTTCAGTGATGCCTAAAATATCCCTGCCAGTTCTGCCCGGCGGCGTCCTTGCCGTTCTGTCTCTGATCAGAGCAGATGGCACCTGCCGTCGACACGTGCGTCGCGTGCGGGTGGCGGAGGCGCCTGTCTTGGCGCGGGTGGTGGCTTCACCCCCGCAGGGAGCCACCTCACTCACTGAGGTGATCTGGGCTGCATGGCAGGGTTCTGTGCGTGCACGCGTGATGCGTCCGTCTGTGTGCTGTGTGTGGTGTATGTGTGCATGCACGCATGATATGTACGTGTGCACTTAAAGGGCACCTGTCTTTTCTGACAAGGGCTCCCCCCTCATGACCTCCAGGTGCCCTGCTTGAGTTTGGGGGCACCCTGTGAGCGAGTCCTGTCTCATACCTGCTTTCCCAGCGTGCGCTCAGCAGACCTGCCTGGGAAACTGAGGCACCATGCCATGGCGACATCGCAGCCAGGGTCCTGCGGCCTCCAGGGCCTCTCGGGCCGCTGACCTCTTGGTCAGGGACTTGGGTCTCCCCTGCCCGGCTCCTCAGCAGTTTGCCTCCAGGCTTATACACCAGTGCCCCCCCCCGAACTCGGGGTCCAGGCTGGCACTGGGCAAAGGCGCTACTGTGTCATGGGCAGAGCTGCCTGCGTGTGACCGCACCCACTGCAGTTCCTTCCAGAAATAGACAGATTTGGGGCCGTCAGACTCTTCGCTCAGGGGAGGATGTTTCCATTGAAAGTCCAGCATCCGGCATGTGGGTGTCAGCTGGACCGTATGACTTCACAAATTCAGACGTGCCTGCTCCGCACACACCCTGCTGGCCATCAGCGCCGCCCGCCGCTGTCCAGGCTCCTTCCAGCTCTGCCTGGAGAATGTTCCAGAAGCACTTGTCACCTTCCTAGGGTGGATCTTCCCAGTCTGGGGGGAATTGCCCTGTAGTCACTGTGGGTGTTCCCGTGTTTGGGAGGAAAACAGGACGGCTCAGAGAGGCGGATTCCCTCCCCAGGCCCGCTGGCACCTCCGGCCAGACTGCCCATGCCGGAGGCCAGGTGGCCTCTCCAGGTAGGGCTGTTGGCTGCCCCTGAGGTCTTCCGGGCTTTGGCAGTCTGGAGAACCCCCTGATAGCTCCCAGCACGGGCTCTGCAGGGGTGGCCAGGGGGCTGGGCTGGCCTCTCTTTCACAGGATGGCTGTCAGGGATCCTGGGGTCATACCTGCAGTCCAGGTCAGAGGACGGTCATAGTCAGAAGCCAGAGGCTCCTCCACGCCCCTCTGCAGATTGTGTTCAGGGCGGACCCTCCACCCAGGGTGCCATGCGGGAGGCAGGGAAGACAGTTCTTGGGTGAAGGCAGGCAAAAGTGACCCCCTCCCATCGACACTGGTGGGAACCTGCCCTGACCTGGGGGTCGGGCTCTTGCCCCTGAGGAGGAGTGCCGCGTGGTGTTGGGGTCTGGGGTGGACCCCGAGATTCCTCTAACTGCCCTGGTATGTGTGGGGGTTCAGGGTGGACCCTGAGACCTTTAACTGCCCTTGTGTGTGTAAGGGGGTTGGGGGCTGACCATGAGACCCCCTAACTGCCCTCGTGTGTGTATGGGTCGGGGTGGACCCTGAGATCTCTAACTGCCCTCATGTGTGTGGGGGGGTTGGGGGTGGACCATGAGACCCCTAACTGCCCTCGTGTGTGTGAGGGAGTCGGGGATAGACCATGAGACCCCTAACTGCCCTCCTGTGTGGGGGGGTCTGGGTGGATCTCGAGACCCCTAACTGCCCTCCTGTGTGTGTGGGGGGGTCAGGGTGGACCACGAAACTGCTAACTGCCCTCATGTGTGGGGTGGGTTGGGGGCGGACCCTGAGACCCCTGACTGCCCTGGTGTGTGTGTGGTATCTGGGGCAGACCCCGAGACCCCCTAACTGCCCTCCCTGCCCACCTTCCAGGGGATCCAGTTCCTCATCGAGAATGACCTGCTGCAGACGGCACCCGAGGATGTGGCCCAGTTCCTGTACAAAGGGGAAGGTCTCAACAAGACGGCCATCGGGGGCTACCTGGGGGAGAGGTGTGCAGGGCTTAGGGCTGGGGCACGGCCTCCCTGTTCTGGGGAAACCGGTCACCCCTTGTGATGCTGCACCTAGAATCCATCCCAGGCACTTCGGGGCTAGTGGGGCTGGCGTGGGTTCTGGCAGAGGGACACTTGGCCCCTCTCTTGGGAGGGGCAAGTGTGGCTTCCCTGGCCCAGTGGTCAGCAGTGAGGGGGGCCTGAGGGTGGCGCCCAGTGGTGGGAGGAGGGGTGAGCCAGGCACTGGGCTAACCCAGAGGGGAGCCATGGCGGTCTCGGTGCAGACGGGGCTGCGGGGACACCAGGGACCTTCCTGCTCTCATATTGGTCTGGTTTGTGGAGGCCACTGACATGTCCTAGATGGTCCCCACAGTGACCCTGATGCAATCTGAGCACTGGTCCTAGGGTCCAGCCTGCCAGCCCTGTGGGACGGGGGTGGGGGTGGGGGGGTGGAATGGGTGCAGGGTGTGTGAGTGTGTGTGTGTGAGTGGGCGGGCGTAGGGTGTATGTGTATGTCTGTGGGAGTGAATGGGCTTGGGGTGTGAGTGCATATTGAGTGGATGAGGAGGGTGTGAGTGCGTGTGTGTGAGTGGCGCAGGGGGTGAGTGTACGTGTGCATGTGAATGGGCATGGGGTGTGAGTGCATGTGTGTGAGTGTGTGTGTGTGAGTGGATGAGGGGGTGTGAGCGCGTGTGTGTGAGTGGATCAGTGTGTGTATGTATGTGGTGTGAATGGGTGTGGGTGTGTGCGTGTGTATGTGTGTGTGTGAGCGCGTGTGTGAGTGGATAAGGGGGGTGTGCGTGCATGTGTGTGCGCGTGTGTGAGTGCATGTGTGTGTGTGGGCGCAGGGTGTGCGCCTCTGTGCATCTGTCTCGGAGCTGACAGACCCTCCTTCCTTCCCTCTCAGGGACGAGTTCAACATTAAGGTGCTTCAGGCCTTCGTGGAGCTGCACGAATTTGCCGACCTGAACCTTGTCCAGGCTCTGAGGTGGGGGGGCTGGGGGCCCCCAGATACGCTCAAATGGGGCGTGGCAGCCTCGCGGGCGGGAAGGCCTCTGCGTCCCTTGCGTCCCACCTCCCCACGTGGCCCCGTGTCCCACAGGCAGTTCCTGTGGAGCTTCCGGCTGCCGGGGGAGGCGCAGAAGATCGACCGCATGATGGAGACCTTTGCTGCCCGCTACTGCCTGTGCAACCCCGGGGTCTTCCAGTCCACGGGTGAGTGCCGACCCCACGCCTGTCCCGTGCCCTCCCCCCACACCCCGTTCCGCCCCTGACGCCCTGCCCGCCTGCCCGCAGACACGTGCTACGTGTTGTCATTTGCCATCATCATGCTGAACACGAGCCTCCACAACCACAACGTGCGCGACAAGCCCACGGCCGAGCGCTTTGTCACCATGAACCGCGGCATCAACGAAGGCGGGGACCTCCCTGAGGAGCTGCTGCGGGTGAGCGGCGCCCTGCCCCGGCCCTGGGCCCTGGCTGCCCTCTCCCTCCCTGCCGCAGAACCCCTGGTGTGCCCCCATGCACCCTCGCTTCCTCTCTTCCTCCCAACTTTCAGAACTTGTATGAGAGCATCAAGAATGAGCCCTTCAAGATCCCGGAGGACGACGGCAACGACCTGACCCACACCTTCTTCAACCCCGACCGCGAGGGCTGGCTGCTGAAGCTGGGTGAGGCGGACACGCGCGCACACGGGGAACATCTCCAGCCCCCTGTGAGGCGGGGGGAGGTGGGCACACGGGGAGCATCTCCAGCGCATACAGGGAGCATCTCCAGCCCCCGCGCAAGGCGGGCACACGGGGAGCACCTCCAGTGCACACGGGGAGCATCTCCTGCCCCCGTGTGAGGCGGGAAAATGGGGAGCACCTCCAGCCCCTGCACAAGGTGGGGGGAGGCTGGCATTTGGGGAGCACCTCCAGCCCCCACGCGAGGCGGGCACACGAGGACCACCTCCAGCGCACACGGGGAGCATCTCCAGGCCCTGCGTGAGGCAGGCATGTGGGCACAGGGAGCACCCCCAGCCCCCGCGGGGAGCATCTACAGCCCCTGTGCGAGGCGGGTAAGCACACACACTGGGAGCACCTCCAGTCCCCGCGCGAGGCGGACACACGGAAAGTACCTCCAACCCCTCTGCAAGGTGGGGGGGAGGTGGGCACACGGGGAGCATCTCTAGCCCCAGCACCGAGGCGTGAGGGCACATGGGACATGGGGGGAGACCTTCAGCCCCAGTGGGGAGGCGGGGGGAGGCAGGGCTGGCAGCCAGGCCCTTTGGCCCTTCGGCCCTTCCTGAAGCCCATGTCTCCCTGCTGGCCCTTGGCCCAGTATGCCCCCACGCTAACCTGGAGAGCCCCTTGCCCACCCCCAGGTGCCCAGGACCCCAAGTGTGCTGCGGGATTGGGATTTCAGTTTGTTTTATTCTGAAAATTCATGTCAGAATTTGGTCCTGTGCTCGGCGCTTCCTGGCCTGGAATAGTTTTCCTTTCTCTTCCACTTTCCAATAAGGCTTTTTCCTTTTTTGCTTTCTGGTTTCTCCCCCCCACCCCCCACACGGTGGTGCTCAGGATCACTGTGGAGGGCTTGGGGGACACTATGGGGTACCTGGGACTGAACCTGGGTTGGCCACAGGCAAGGCAAGAACTGCACTGTCGCCCAGGCTCCAGCTTTTCCCGTTTCTAAAAACAAACCGGACGGGGCGCTGCCCGGTGTTTGGTGGGGCGGAGGTGGCTCTCGGCACCCGGCTGTCAACCCTGGCTGGCTGCACAGCCCTGGCTGGCCGCACACCCGCCATCCGACCCAGTTCTTGCCTCCCTGCATCACCGCTGGCTCCAAAAGCCGGTCTGGACCCCCGTATGAGCTGGCCTCCAGGGTTCCCAGAACCCCCTGGACATTCGGGGCGGAGTGGGAGGGCCGGACCGTGCCGAGTGCTTCCCCCAGGAAGGGCTGTGGAGGTCCAGCGGGCTCAGCCCGAGCTTCTCCCGCCAGGTGGGCGCGTGAAGACGTGGAAGCGGCGGTGGTTCATCCTCACCGACAACTGCCTCTACTACTTCGAGTACACCACGGTGCGTCGCGGGGCAGGCGGGCGCTTCGCAGTCAAGGGGCCCTGCCCGGGGTCGCGGACTAAAGCGCTTTTCTCTCTAGGACAAGGAGCCCCGGGGAATCATCCCACTGGAGAACCTCAGTATCCGGGAGGTGGAAGACCCCCGAAAGCCCGTAAGCCAGCAGCCTCCTCCTCCCCTGCCATCTCCCCGCCTCCCTGCGTGGGCCAAACCCCTTGCCCCTTGCCCGGCGAAGGGTGACGCCTTTTCTGTACACTCCAGAACTGCTTCGAGCTGTACAATCCAAGCCACAAAGGGCAGGTGATCAAAGCCTGTAAGACCGAGGCGGACGGGCGCGTGGTGGAGGGCAACCACGTGGTGTACCGCATCTCCGCCCCCAGCCCCGAGGAGAAGGACGAGTGGATGAAATCCATCAGGTGTGAGACCGCTAGGCGCGCGCACGTGCTGGTTCTGTGCGTCAAGTGCAGGGATGCGTGCGTGTGCCAGCTGCGAGTTGGGTGCAGGGGTGCGTGCGCGTGCAGGCCTCCTGCGCCGGGTGCAGGGGTGCTTGTGCGTGTTGGCACTGTGTGTTGAGTGCAGGGCTGCGTGTGCGTGCAGGCCTCATGTGTTGGGTGCAGGGGTGTGTGCGTGTTCTGGCGCTTCCCTTGCGGGGTAGGAGGAGCCTGGGGGGGTTGGGTCCCACCTCCGTAACTTGTGATCTCTGTTGGCCAGAGCGAGTATCAGTCGCGACCCCTTCTACGACATGTTGGCAACAAGGAAAAGGAGAATTGCCAACAAAAAATAACATTCCCGGTCCGGACGGGTCAAATGGCAACCAAAGCCCCACAGCAAAAAGTGACTGCAGCGCCCTCCTGGGGCCGACGGGGACCACAACGGGGGCCTATGGACGCCTCTTCCAGAAGGTTCCAGAAGGCAAGAGCCCCGCTGCGCACTCGGGCCCTGGGGAGTGGGTGCCAGGGCCGCCGTGCCCAGACTTGACCTCCTGTCCACTGCGCGCGAGGAGGGGGCTGCCCGGCCCTTCTAGAAGATTCCCCCGGTGCAGCGCCCGCACTGGGCCGGGAAGGGCTGCGAGGTGGCCGCGTGCGCCCGGGGACCACCTCGGCCCGGCGCGGGGGACCCTTCTAGACACCGCAGGAAAGGAAGTTTTTTATTCAGAATTTTTTTCTCAGATATATAGGATTATAGCTTTTATATGCTTTTTATATTCCGAAATTATAATGAAAGATACTTTCTAACAGTAGTATTTTTAGAACGGCAGCTATAAATTTAATTCCGGACACGCGCTCACTGTGCGCCGCCCGGCCCTGGCGCCCGGGTTCGGGGAGGGCGTGCACCGCGCCCCCTGGCGCCGCGCGGCGGAACAGCAGCCTCTGCTGCGGATTCCTCTGGCCAAACGGCAGGATCAGCGCGACCCGAAATCCCCCCCCACCCGGCCTGCCCGGTGCTGCAGAGTGGACGTAGCTGGAAACGGGCCGTCTTTGGGGGGTCCTGCCCCCCTAGGAGGGGGCAGGCGCAGGCTGGGGCGGCCGTGAGGCACTCAGGGTCCCTTTCCTGCGGGGCACAGCCCAGCGCACGGGTGCTTGCACGTTTGCCAAAGGGAGGCGGGCCCTGTGCTGCTCGGCCCGAGGGAGCCCGTGCGGGGGCCCGGGCCGACCTGCTGTGAGGTGCCTCTGGCTGCTTTACTGGGAGCTTTATTTCGCCCCTGGCCCCTTGCCCAGGTGGGCTCCATGTGGGCTCTTCCCGCAGAGCCGCCCGGCGCCACCCTTCGGGTGAGGGTGAGGGGCTTTCCCCTCTGGAACCCCTGGGCAGGATGTCATGTTGACGCGCCCAGGGGTCGGCCCCTCTCTGCAGCAGACCCCCTTTCCGGCTCATTCCAAGCTATCTAGCTAAGGACTGCACTGATACCTCGAATTCTACTGTCCAGTTTCTAAGAGAGACGGTCAGTCGCAGGATGTCTGACTGGCTATATGCAACTCCGCCTCCAGCCTTCCAGGGACACCCCGCGGCACCCCTCTCTTCTCTGCCCAGGTAGGCCCCGGGGATGCAGGGCTTCCGGTGCACGGCACCGGTTGGTCCCAGAGACGATGCAGACGGCCACGGTGCTCACACGTTCCCTGCCATCGAGTCTTCCGTGATGCCACTGACTCCTGGTTTTGTCGTGACAGTATTAAGATGACAGGCACACAGCCATTTCCCCCTCCCCCAATGGCCCACCGGGGCATGTCACTGCCCTAGTGCTCTTGTCTGGCCACATCTGAGCTCACTGCTCCATTCCTGACCCAACGATCCCTGGAAATGGGGGTTAATGGGCGCCCCCTCCCAGGGAGCACCCAGAGGTCACATGGTGGTTTCTCATTGTCTTATTCCTAGAAAACCTTTTTACTTCCAGTAAGTCTAGTTTCCGTGTAAATAGAGTGTGTACATAGAGAGTGGTTTCTGAGGTGTGTTATTCATGTATATACGCCCGTAACTTGCATGATGGAATATCCTGTATCTATTGCTATTTTATTGTAAAGTGAAGTCAGAGCGGAGGGCGTATGGCTGTCAAACTGCAAATACTGTGCTCATGAAATAAAAATCATATGCGTTGTTAAAGAACCAAGGCTCAAGCAGTCTTGCTTGGAACAGCGCGTGGGTCCAGGAAGGAAGGACACAGGTGCGTTTGCTGCCATTTATATTCTAGAGAAATTTTACATGCCGTCTATTTACAGTGGGGCAAGTGCTTTTTTAATCTTTAAAAAAACAAAGATCAAACTTTAGACATCTCTGAACAACACAAACTGTATAAACCATACAGATTATTCAGATACAAACTGTATCAAATACAGTTTTCCCCACTCCATCTCCTGATGCAGGACCCGTGAATATAAGTGTATCACAGTTTGATAGCATATCATATTAAAAATAAAATCACAGTATGATTCTGTCTGGAACTAGAAACTGACAACTCAGACTCCGATATCATAGTCAAGACAAGAGACGCCGTATAAAAGTGTTATGTAATAAAAACATACTGTAGGCTTTACAAAGAATGTCGGGATTATACATTCATAATGTAAATACTCATCATAACTGGTAAATTGATTGGAATAGTTCCACAAAGTTCAAAAACAGAACTTGTCTATAAAATACATCTTCAAATCTTGAATACAACTAAAATATGAAGCAAATTAGTTGCTAGTATCAGACATTACAGAAAACAGATTGCTCTCAAAAGTCTAGTTGAGAGCGTGTGAATCTTTAAATAAGTCTTTAAATTAAATCTACACACTGTCAGTTTGTTTGTACTTTTAGTCATTCCATGCTCTGCCGGTCGGGCTGGCACCGGCTGTCTCACTTGGAGGACATGGAATTGGCGGGATCAACCTGAGTCTGTGATTAAGCAGCATTGAGGTGTCCTAGTCCAGGGCGTCACTCAGTGGGATTCTATACACGGACTTTACAACGGTCAGCAGTTGTAGAAAGTGTTCATCCATTTGGAATAAGGGCAATTAAGAAAAGGTAAAAACTAAAAAAAAAGTTCTCCATGGTAAAATCTGTACAGTATTTACTAAAGAAGCACCACGCAGATTTGAACAAAGTTATTTTCTATATTTATAATTTAAGCTGGGTTGGGGATGGCTTCTGTTGAACATGTTGAACCTGAAAAGCAAGAGGGGCCGCATTAGTGCCCTGGTGCGGGGGTCCTGCGGGACCCTAGAGACATGGGCGGGCTCTCCCCCAGGCCTGCCGCCTCCCCCTAAGGTCTCGCCGCCACATCCTGTCACCTGAGCAGGCCCGACACGGAGGCAGAGCAGCAGGGGCGCCCCTTCTCCCCAGACAGTGCCTGACCCCCCAAACTCCTTGTGTGTCCCTCTGTGAAGACAATCATGGAACAGGCAGTGGGAAACAGCTTACCATAACTAGTGAAAATTTTGTTTGAGGCCAAGTTTTCAGTCACCTGGAAAGTAGAAGATGAGGAAAGAGGTTTTACTGCAGGTTTTGCACGTGGGCAGGGCCCAGTGCGGTGCTCACCTCAGGAGACTCGGGCTTACTGCTGGGGCGCTGCCGGTCCCCCACCTGGTGTCTGACTGGAAACCGTGGAGTGGGGGCAGGACTGCCTGGGCCCCTCCCCAGACTGAAGCCCTCCTGGGGACCCCGCCGGGGATGCACACGCTTCCTCAGGCCCTCGCCTTGTTACCTGCCCCTGGGACTCTGGGCGGGCCTGAAGCAGCGGCCGAGGCGGGCACAGGCTGGGCATCCCCTGGCCCCACCCCTCTTCTCCGGAGATGCAGCGGCCAGGCCGGGTCCGCTCGGCCTGACTCCTCGCCTGGTCCCCGGGGCCAGGAGACTGGGGAGCAGCCCCTCCTGTGGCCCCCAGGGCGGGGCGATGGAACTCTCGCAGTAAGTGGAGCCATGCAGCTGGGTGCAGCCCGACGCCCCTAAATCCAGGCCACACTGAGTTTGGCTCTTTCTCAAAGTGCTCCAGTTAAGGACAGAGAGGCCGCTGGGAAACTGCAGGCCAGTGCTGGCGGCCGGTTCTGTGGGAGCAGCGCCCATCCCCGGGCTCCCCAACTCCCACCTCTGCCCTCTTACCCTGGCCGCACTCGGACAGAGGACACCTGTCGGCCCTGCTCTCCAGCCGGAAGTGTTTGGTTTTCTCGAGGGCCAGGCTGTCAGCGGGGGGGAGCCCGCCCTCAGTTCTCCGGAAGGGGTGAGCGGGCTTGGGGCCAGAGGCCTGAGGGGGGTGCAGTCCCGAGCTCGGAGGAAAGTCCTCTGATCGCCTGGAGTGTCGCTTCTTTTTCTTCTTCTTCTTCTTGTGTCTGTGGAGGTCCGCATCCGAGTAAGCGCCCGAGAGGTCGGAGTCTGGGGGGTGCCTGCAGGGGGAGTGGCCAGGGCTCAGACTGGAGGGGAAGTGGGTGCCATTCGCACAGTGGGCCCTGGGCCCATGGAGACTCGCGGGGCCTGGGGGGCCGCCCGCTGCCTCAGGCTTAAGGAGAGCAGCTCGGAAGCACTGGGGCTCCAGGGCCGCGTGCTGAGCCGCACACAGCCCTCGTCAGTGCCCAGGTCTTCTCAGACCAAACAGTGAGAGTGCAGGATTGGCCTGTCTCTGACCCCCAGCACCTCCCAAAAGGCAGTAAGAGCAAACTTTCAATTAGATTATAAACTGAGAATAGGGAAGACAAGCAAAGACCAGTGCCACTGCAGTGTCACTGGATGTTGCATAGGTAAACCTGGTTCTAGACTAGAACATTCAAGTCTGGGGTATCTTAGGGGATGGAAGGATAGTCACCAGGCAGGGCAGAGTTCAGTCCCTGACACTCCATTTGGTCCCTGGAGCACTGTCAGGAGTGATTCCTGAGTGCAGAGCCAGGAGTCAGCCTGAGGATCACTGGGTGTGGCCAAGAAGCAAGTAGGGCATTTTAGCTCACATTATTCTAGACCCTGAAAGTTGTATTATTTTGTGAACAGTGAGAAAGAAAATGGAATAGAATATAGAATGTATTCAATTGAAGACAATTCAGCCAATAAGCTACAACTTTTTGTCTGTCATGGAAAGGTTTTTTTGGACCACACTGGCAATGCTCGGGTATTCCTCTTGGTGATGCTCAGGGGCCCATATGGGATGTCAGTGAGCAAGAGGCTGGCCTTGCTCTACTGTTGCTTCATTAGCTACGACTTCTTTGTGGGGTGGGGGGTGGGGGGGAGGCCAATATGGCTGAGATGCAAGGATATCGGGTGGGGCCTCACCAGGCCGCCTGGGCAGCCCCGGAAAGGCAATGCATTTCAGAAGCTGTGTCGTCAGGCACGTGGGAGCCTCTGAGATCAGATAGTCTTAAAACAGCTACAGTTTACACACATGTCAAAGCAGTGCAATTGCCAAACTCAAAAAGAAAACCACAGCAGGGGCCGGAACCCTAGTCCATCAGGAGGGTGCTTGCCTTGCCCACAGCTGACCCACATTCGATCCTCAGCCTCCCCTGGGGTCCCCTGAGCACCGCTGGGTGTGGACCTAAAACCAAAAACACCAAAACCCTCACCGGAGCCCTGACTTGCCTCCGTGGCCGGCCCCTGCCCCCGCCTCACCTGGAATCTCGGGTCCGGTGCTTGTCTTTGGATTTCTTTTTCTTCTTTGACTTTTTGTGCTTCTTCGCCTTGGGCTCTTCCAAAGGGCCCTTGGGCGCACTCCTCCAGGCGGGCTTTTCCCCGTGCCCGTCCACGTTCTCGACGCTGTCGTGTCTCCGTTTCCGTGGCTTCGAGTTCTCGGGTCCACGGAAACGGCCTGAGAGGTCACAGCCGCCTTCAGCCCCAAGTGCCATTTTCTCATGGGAGTACTTCTCGGGGTACAGGGGGAGGCTGTGGGCCGGGCCGGCGCGGGCATGGTGCCGCTCCTTCTCATAGGCCTTCCTGCCTTTGTAGTAGTCATAGGGCCGGCCGTGGTCACGGGCCCCGGGGAAGGCCTTCCAGTCGCGCGCCTCCCGTGGCAGGTACAGGGCCGAGCGGCTGTGGTAGTGCCGGCACTTGCCCCACCGCACCTGCTCGGGGTAGTACTTCTCCCGGCCCCATGCGTGTTCGCTCTCTGAATGGTGGTGGCGGCTCCACTCCTGCTGGTGGCCGTACCTGCCCAGGGAGCGCCGCTCGCTCGGGCTGCCCCTGTCGCCGTGGCTCCCGCTGCAGTGCTCGCGCCGGTGGCACTCCTGCTTGGCCCGCTCCCGCTCAGACGGGTGCCGCTTTTTGTGGTAATGGTCCTCCGTTTTGCTCCGGCTTTCCCGCGCGCGCTCGCCACTGGAAGAAGCGTCTCTTCGGTTCCGGTAGTGGCCGCGGTCCACTTTCCGGAGGCTGCTGATCTTCTCCTTGCCTGGAGATGGGTCCGGGACCCTGTGCCCCGCCTTGCTCTCCTCACTGGCCTGCCCGGGACTCGCTGCCGGGCCCCCTTCCGCAGGGCCTTCCGCGGCTTTGTCTGTGGGTGCTGCGGGTGGCCCCTCGGCAGCCGTGGCCACGTCCCGGCTGATGTGAACCAAGAGTTCGTGGGTGCCGTCGGCCTCGGGGCGAGCCGAGGGGGCCGGGCTCAGCTCCCCCATGGTGCTGCCCTGGGCCGGGGACCGCTGCGGGCTGGCCGTGTCCGGGGAGGCCCTGCCCTGCTCCTCCGCGGTGCTCCCGGGGTCACGCACGGATGGGAGTTGACCGGCCTCGCACGTGGCCCTGTTGGCCTCCCCAGGGCTGGTGCAGGCCGGAGACTCGGCAGGCATGGCAGCCACGTTCTCCGACGCTTCTTTGGTGGCAGGGACGCTGGGGTCGCAGGGCAGCAGAGCTGCCTTCAGGTGGCTGAGACCAGAGGCCGCCTCGGGGAGCTGCTGGCAGGCGGGAGGGGGGCTGCCAGCCTCAAGTTCCGCGTAGGGGCCCCCCAGTGGGCTTTCCTCTGCTTGCGCGGGGCTGCAACAGCACCAGAGAGAAACCTGTCAGCTGGCACTTGTGGCCAATGGCCTCAGCCCCCTGCCTCAGCCGTGCTCACCCGCCTCCCCTCCCCGCCCACACCTACCCTAGCACCCAACAGAGCCACTGGCTGTGGGTATTCGGGGCCTCGCGCAGCCCTTGGCCTCGGTGGGCAAACCTGAAGGGGCAGTGCCTGGGCCTCAGCGGGGGGTGTAGGTAGTGCCAGATTTGTACCACTCCCACCGCCACAGCCTTGCCCTCCATGCCAACTCTCTGGCTTTCATTCCAGTAACTAAGTCACTCTCCAAATCCAAATGAGCCTAAAGAACTTCGGGATTAACTCTTTAAAAATGTTAAGTGATGACTGATGACTGGAACCCTTAGCTTTTCCTCTAGATCCCTTTCCTCCAGATTTCTCTCCTAGTAACTCCAAAAAGACCCAGGTCATTTAGACACGCTGAGGAATCTCTGAGGGTTTGGGCAGGTCTCTGCAGTGAGTGAACTTTGCCCCTGATTGCTGCAAAGCTTTGCCTGTGTGTTTACAAGGTTTAACCAAAGCTGCTGGGCCAGAGTCCAGAGCCACGGTGAACCCTCAGCTCTGACCCGGCCGGTCGTGGAGACTGTGGGGGTGGGGTGAAACACAGTGGCACGGGAGAGCAGAGATGGGGAGACATGCAGTGGTCGTGGAGAACAGAGAGGGGACACACGGCTGTGGAGAGCAGAGATGGGACACGCAATGGCCATGGAGAGCCGAAATGGGGGGACACGCAGTGGCTGTGGGACAGCAGGGACGGGGACACAGAGCCGCTTTGGAGAGCAGAGACAGGGACGTGCGGCCACTGTGGGACAGCAGAGAGCCAGAGACCAGCGTGGTCCTGCTGTTCCCTGGCATGGCGCTGAGGGTGGGACTGCCTAGTCCTCCCAGGACTGGCCCAGCCGTGCAGCACTTGTCTCATGTTTGTGAAGCCCAGGGGTGGATCCGAGGCACAGACAGGCGGAAACGTGGGACAGGGAAGCAGTGGGCACCCGCCGCACTCACTCTGCCCCCTCTGAATCCGCTCGGTGGCATTCAGTGCGGCATCTGCAAGAGCCATTCTGAAAGCGGGGTGCAGATGGGGGCTGCCGCAGTGATGGAGCCCTACTAGCCCCTGAGGGCGGGGGACAGGGTGGCCATGTCACAGCCTGCAGCCACACGGCAAAATCTGTCACCCTCGTCTTCACAAACACTCGCTCTTCCAAAACTACAACTGGGCGCGCAGGTGGGATGGCACGGAACTCCAGCCTGTCTGTGCTCCTGGCCTGCCCTCCCACTGTGCCGTCACTCCTCAGCTGATGCTCACTAACACAGCGGGCACACGATCCCGAGCCCTGACGGACCAGGCAAAGCTCCTCCATAAACTCGGGGGATCACAGGCAGCAAGACAGCAAAGAATCCAACCCCAGGACTAAGAGGGTTGGTCTGGGGGTGCTTGAGGCCCATAAGTCAGTGGATGTAGTAGGCCACACCGTATCCCAGGTGAAAGCCACAGGCTGTGGCCCAGGTGTCAGAGCTATTGCCTTAGGGACAAGGCTGAGCACTCGGTCCCTGGAACCACCAGGTGTAAACCCCAAGGTCTTGGTTTTGTTCTTGGGCCATACCTGGCAGTGCTCGGGGAGCACTCCTGGCGAGGCTTGGAGGAACATATGCGGTGCGGGGTCAAGCCCGGGTCAGGAGTGTGCAGGCAAGGTGTCGCTGGTCCAAAGCCCCATTTTTAAAAACAAAAATCTCATGATCATACCAAGAGATGCTGAAAACGCATTTACAAGATTCTAATTATGATAAACCATACCAGTGACTGGGGCCGAGTTGCAGTTCCACACGGTCCCCTAAACATTCCTGGCACAGCACTTAGCCCGAGTACCTCTGGCCACGGCCCTGTAGGCTCCCGAGCACTGAGCGGCTGAGAATTGCTGCGATACCCTCTACCCATCCCGTCTCCTGAGTACCACCTGGGAGTCCAAAAGCAGAAATGGGGGAGGGAGGGTGCCTGTGATGAAGTCAGTCAAAGGGACATGCCAACCCAGCAAAGGTCGGGCCTACGATGCCCCAGGCTGCGGCCCTGGCTCAGAAATGGAGAACCAGGATTAAGATGCTATAACTGACCCTGGGGCCAGAGCCAGACAACAGCTGAGAGGGGCTGCCCCACACACAGCCACCCTGGTCTCATCCCCAGACATCACAGGGTCCCTCAGAGCCAACCCTTAGCGCAGAGCTGGGAGCAAGCTGGGATGCCCAAAAACAAACGCTCCGCCAGCACCTTCCAAAGATTTTGGGAGTCCCAGTCAAAACCAGGAAAAAAATGAAGGAATCCAGATGGAAAATAATCAATTTGTTCATCGATTTGCTCAAGCGAGCCTGGTAACGTCTCCATTTTGAGACTTGTTGTTTCTGTGTTTGGCATATTGAATACGTCACGGGCAGCTTGCCAGGCTTTGCCGTGCGGGCGAGATACTCTCAGTAGCTCACCAGAGGGCCGGAGGAATCGAACCCGGCTCAGCCAGGCTGGCTGCGCGCAAGGCAAACGCCCTACTGATGTGCTATCGCTCCAGCCCTATGGAAAATAATAACTATTGCTATTTGTGGGTGACAAAGGCTCCCCATTTCAGAAACTGAAAATGAAAAAATTATCAAAAGAAACGAATTGATAAGCATGATTGTAATTCTATACACAATGAATAAGAGGAAATAAAAATTAGGGAAATTAGGAAATCCCACTTACAATTTTATCAAGAAGAATAAACATGGGGCCGGACTGATAGTACAGCAGGTAGGTCATTTGCCTTGCATGTGGCCAACCTCAGTTCAATCCCTGGCATCCCATACAGTCCCCCCAAGCACCGCCAGTAACTCATGTTATTCTTGAGTGCAGAGCCAGGAGTAACCCAACCATAGCTAGGTGTGACCCCAAAAAGCAAAAAAAAAAAAAAAAAAAAAGAATAAACATGTTACTAAACTAGTAAGAATAACAACTGTCAAAAAAAAAAAAAGAATAACTGTAAACCTTCTAGGGTCTGGAATGATAATACGGTGGATAGGAGATTTGCCTTGTATGCGGCTGACCTGGGTTCCATCCCCAGCATCCCATATGGTCCCCTGAGCACCATCAGGAGTGATTCCTGAGCACAGAGCCAGGAGTAAGCCCTGAGTATGGCTTGACATGGCCCAAAAACCAAAACCAAAGTAACTGTAAGACTTCCAGAGAAAGAGGGGCCCCAAGCCCGTGCTGTCCCGGCACGCGGGTGTGTGTGAGTTCATTCCCATTTACCTTGCTTCCTCTGCCGAGCCTTTTGCTTTGCTGCTGAGTTTGAAGGTCTCTAAGATCTTATCTTCCGGGAGAGGCGGCAGCGGAGCAGGCATTAGCTGGAACAGAGACGGCGGTGTTCCACTCGGGGCTCCTGACTGCCAGCCAGGGGGGCACCAGCCCCCAGCCCACCCGGTCCTGCTCCTCACCTTCCCAGGTAAACCATTTGCCTTAGCAAAGGGGTTTTCTGCATGCAGTGGGGGCTGCCCTTGGCCCGTGGTGCCGTCCGGCGAGGGCCCATGTGCCGTGGGGTCACCATCTGCACTGTCAGCACCATTCAGCGCTGTGGGTTCCCGAAGCAGCTCGTGCGGAGCGGCCTCATCGCCCGCCGCGCCCTGCGCCACCCCCAGGCCGTTCTCCCTGCCGAGGCCCTTGGCCTCTTCATCAGACTCCTCGGACGACTCGGCCCCGTAGGGGACCAGGACACTGGCGTGCAGCCTGGCCTTGCCATTCACCACGGGTGCGGCGCAGGGCTCGCTCGGGGCGGGCGGCTTCGGGGCCTTACTGGACGCCACGGGGGCAGCAGTGCTCGAGGTAGACTGTATTGCGGAGGGGTTGGTGACGGTGGAGGACGGGGCGGGCTTGGCCGGGGTCTCCAGGGGGCTGCTCAGGAGGCCGGGCTGAGGTGGGCCTGGGCGCACGGGTAACTTGTTGTGAATACTGATGGTGATCTTCTGCTTCTTGGGGTGCTCTGGGAGGACAGCAGGCCTGCTGACCGACCAGTTCGGAACAGAAGTAGGAGCACCAACGGGAGCGGCCCGATTGACGCTGGGATTCCCGTTAGGGCTTGACAGGGAGCTGCTGGGCGTCTCCTTAAGTGGGCCCGTCCCGTTCAGGTGCGGTGGGTTCTGGAAGGAGGGAGCGGGTGATGAGGGCCCTGCCATGTGGGCCCCAGTCTTCTCCTACACCACCCTCCTGCCATAGGGCAACTAATCAATAAACAGGTGACTGGCTCTGTCACTACCCCAAGACTAAGTTCTTTTGTGTGCTTGCGGGCCATGCGGCGGGACTCGGGGCTCTTGTGCTCTGGGTTCACTCCTGGCAGGGCTTGGGGAGGGACACCTAGGAGTTGGTGAGCAGAGCCAGCACTGATGTGCCGTGCTGTTCGGCCGAACTAGTGTCTCTCTGCTTTGATCAGAAGCAAAGGAGAGAGTCACTGGGAAAAGCCTGGGATGTCCTCTCCGGGGGGTTCCTGGGACCGTCAGCTCCAGGGGGAAGAATTGAGATGGGGTGCCCAGGCTCTCGTGCCCAGCCCTCTCCTCCCGGCATTCCATCTCCAGAAGCCCCTGCCTCACTGCTGGCCTATGTTGGGGTCACCAACTGGGGGTCTTGGGCAGGATCTGAGTGACAGTTGCCTTGTTTGGCCTTTTCAAAATCTCCTCGGTTACGTGCAAGGGTTGCCGTCTTGCCTCCAGGTCTCGGTAAAAACCGAACAAAGAAACCCCAGGCAAAATCAGTAAGCTGCTCCTTCCAGCACGCATGCTCCCAGGCACAGTCCGACGCCCTTTGACCCAGCACATCAGAACCCACTGGGTGCCAGTCTCCCGGCCGCCTGGCCCCGGCCATCAGAACCCACTGGGTGCCAGGCCCCCGGCCTTATACTGAGAGGAGCCTGCTGCGCTCAGACTGGCTCTGCCGGGACCAGGCCCTGGGCTCAGCATTCTGTGGGAGCAGGAACCCCAGTCTTGGTGAAAGGGGTCCTTGTGCCCTGGGTGACTCACGTCGATGACACTCCTCTGTCAGACTGAGACTCCATGCCAGTGCTCACAGCCAGGCGTGGGTGCAGCCGGTCCCTGCCCCTGGGGGCTGAGGGACGTGTTCTCAGGGGTGCCAGGGCCTGGAGCCACGGGGCGCGACGGGCAGCCACCAAGCGTCCCTGCTCCCCCCATTGTCCCCTCACCTTGATCATGTGCGAAGGCAGCTGCGGGCCAATGAACCCGGCCGCAGCCTGCTTGCTGCTGACCACGCGCTGACTGATGACCGGCCGGGGCGAGGACTGACCGGGGCTGTGGGGGGAGTGAGTGAGCTCGCCTCCGTTCTTCACATCATGTGACCTGGGGACACAGACACGACATGCAGGTCACCCGAACGGCAGTGCATAAGGGCAGGAGGCGGTGCCAGTCCAGGGCCCCCGGCACACTGAGAGCTCATCCCCATCTGCGGTGACAGCATTTCCCCTGCTCCAGACACGACCGTTACAGAGCCCACAGTGTTCCACAGCTGCCCCGAGACAGACTTCCCGGCTCCAATGAGGGGCTACAGACTGCTTGTCCCCTCCATCTCCTCGGACCTGCTGTCTTCAGAGACCCTGAACTGCAGGCTGCAGCCCGGGGACAACCCCACCCAAATGCGGTCCTGCTGGCACTGGGGGACATTTCTGGTGATTCTTCATTTTCAGCCTGTGACAGCTGAGTGCCCCAGGCACAGCCAGAACCGGGTGCTTCCAGAACGCAGCGGGATGTGACGAAGGGCTGCGGCCGAGCAGGGGGCTGGGGCCTGCGCCCTCCGCCTCAGTCCTCGGCCCCCTCCCCAACCCCGCAGGCCTCCTTGCTACCAAAGGCTGGTGGGAACGCGATGCAGAATCCACACGTGCTCTATCGCTGAGCTGCCATCTTATAACTCCGTATTCAGAAAGGACGATGAGTGGAGGGACAGTGACAGGACTAGCATCTGTAGTACCTGATGTAGAACAGGACATATGCTTGCTGGCTGAGTACCGATCTGATGTCACTGGTGGAGACGATGGAGTCATTCATCTGATACCAGAGGCCATTGCTCGCCTAGAGAGTCCGTTGAAGAGATATCAGAGGGGAGCGCAATCCAGAGAAATGGAAGCAAAGTGGACTTTCACATTTTAAGGGAAGCCCCCGCCCCCCGCCCCGGAGGCAGCGCTACTGTCCAGGGCTGCAGAGGTGAGTGACGTGCGAACCCTGCAGCTTACTTTGATGTAGCAGAAGTAGTGGCCAGCGTGGCAGTTAAAGCCCGTGTGTACCAGTACCGCGTACAGGACATAAATAATCGGCTCCCCATTTGGCTGTGACATGTATGGTCGGATATCCAGGTACTCAGGGTATTTCACATCCTAAGGAGAAGTGAGAAAGGGAAGGAAGAGCATCCTGAGTGCATAGCCACCCTGAGGGGCAGAGGGACCTGCAGAGTTTCCCGCCGTGCAGTCTGGAGGCAGTTCCAGGGCGAGCTGGTGTGTCCCAGCACCTCACACCCACGCAGCCTCACCTCCTCTCCCCCTACACGGAGGTCCGTGTGAACAGTGGGGCAGGCACCTCGTACATGCCGGGCCCTTACTTTAAGGGGCGCTTAGGGAGAGAGGCAGGGTGCGGTACCCGGGAGCAGACTCAGGGCCCAGGAGAGGGTTCAAGGGCTGCAGCAGAACCCGTCCATGTGGGGGCAACAGGGCGGGCTGATGAGACAGGAGGCCTCTCTGGATGGAGGGCACGAGCCCCCCACAGCCACGCGTCCCCTCCCTGAGCACAAAGCAGAGGCTAACGCGAGCCTCTCCAGGAGACTCAATAGCTGAGGGCTGAGGAAGCAGTGGCACTGGGCACACACCCCCCACCCCCCGCAGCCTCCTGGCACACCCTCTAAGTGCTACAAGAAACTCAGGTAAAAAAACGGCACAACTTGGTCCTTTAGATCCTTACCAACTACTGCTGGAAAGGCGTGGCATGAAAGCATAGTACTGACGTTACCTACTTACCTTAGCAATTTTTCCACCAGTAAAATTGGCAAAGCGTTTCAGAGAAAGCGTGAGGACATTGGAGGACCTATGTATGGTGAACCTCTTGGAAGCTGGAACCATCTTTTTACACCTTGAAATGAACAGAAACAGGAGTAAGAGGTTTAGAAGCGTGAGGTAATGTGTGTGTGTGGGTTTGTTGGTTCTGTTTGTTTGCCTTTAGGCTTCCTGACCCCCTGAGTCATCCTGACTGGTTTTTAAAGAAGGCCACTTGGGCCACGGATGCGACTCAGTGGTAGAGACCAAGCTGCCGTGTGGCCTTGATCTAACCTCCAGCACATGTACACGCGTACACACACACACACACACACACACACACACACACACACGGATGCTCCACAGCAAACCCCACCTTTGTTCTCTTTTTTTGTCTTTGGACCTCATTCAGGGCTAACTGCAGGCTCTGTAGTGAAGTCTCACCCCTGGTGGGCTCAGGGGACCATCTGTGTGTGGTACTGGGGATTGGACGCGGGTCGGCCATGTACCTCACCACTGACAATCTCTCCAGTCCCCTAACACCGCCCTTTCAAATCAGAGAAATATTAAAACTTTGGGGGGGGGGGGGAATTGCTCAATTGGCAGGAAAGAGGATGCTAGGGAGACTCTGAAATGCCAAGTCCCACAGATAATTTTTAAATTAGGTTAATCAACATTTCTCTCACTTAAGAACAAACCAAAACTAAGGGTCTTCATGCTGGTCCAGTTCTGCGAGAACCAAGTCTGACCCAATACCACCGCAGGAACTCCAGGACCTTCTGGATTGGCTCTGGCTTGGGGAGCCCCGAAACCAAGCAAGGGACAGATGTTTCACAGGCCCAAGCTCAGGCGGTATACGGGGGAGATTCAGCCCCCAGTACTGGTTTCTGGAGACCACCAGGAGCGACCCCCAAGCTAGGTAGGCCCACAAACTAATAGTCCCATATATGTATAATTTATAGTAATATGCACATAATATGTAATTACAAGAATATAATGAGTATAAATAATAAAAGATTAATGATATATATGTGTATATTACAAATGTCTGCAAAGTTAGAACAAAGGCAAAACCCCATCATCTTAGAAAGCTGCCTTCTTTCCTATGGAATATTCCATATGGCAACAGGCCTGGGGAACTAGACTAGAAAAGGAAAATCTACTTAAAATAGGTGAGATAGCCTTCCTTTTCTGAGGGGGGCCGCTCAGCAGTGCTCAGGGTTAGTCCGACCACTCCTGGCAGCTCGGGGGGACCATATGTGGTGCTGGGGATCGAAATCGGGTTAGCCACACGCAGGGAAAGTCCCCTACTCACTGTACTACCACTCTCTCCAAAAACTTTTATAAGGGATCTTTCTGGGGGTCAGAGATAGAGTAAAGCAGGTAAGGTGTTTGCCTTGCACGCAGCCAACCCAGGTTCCATCCCTGACCCCCCTACTGTTCCCTGAGCTCCACCAGGAGTAAGCCCTGTAAGTAAGTATAGGCAGAAGTGGCCCCCAAAGCCCCAAATAAATGAAATAAAACAGACTTTTGTCTCAGTGTCAGGGGCCAGAGTGACAGTACACTTGCCTTATACACAGATGACCCAGGTTCGATTCCCAGCCCCCCAGGAGAGAACTCTGAACACTGCTGGGTATGGTCCAAAGCCGAAACCAAACCAAAAATCAACATCATGAAGTAAGATCACAAAAGGAGCAGGTTCAACCCAGAGTCCCGGGGAAGTGCCTTTGAGAGGTCTCTAAAGGCCTGGGGAGGGGCTGGCGCGATAGCACAGTAAGTAGGGTGTGTTTGCCTTGCACACAGCCGACCGGGTTCGATTCCCAGCAACCCATATGGTCCCCTGAGCACCACCAGGAGTAATTCCTGAGCGCATGAGCCAGGAGTAACCCCTATGCATGGCTGGGTATGACCCAAAAAGCAAAAAACAAAAAAATAAAAAATAAAGGCCTGGGGAAAGCGGCCCCACCCCAGCAGCACTGCCCAGCAGCTCTGCCAAGTGGTGTCAGGGAGATGCTTCCACTCCCCCCTCCATGACGAAGCACCAAGTCCCTGTGGGCACGGAGGGCCCCGCGTTCAGGAGCGGAAGCATTTGGGTCCGTGGAGAACCAAGACCCAGGTGTCCTCCCAGATAAGGCAGGAGGTGAGGGTCGCGGCCACACTCCAACCTTCCACCCCAGCCCCGCAGGCCCTCAGCACCCTCCTACTTGCTGCACTTGTACGAGTTCTCTCCGTCCAGCTGCTCTGGCTTCACAAACTGCTCCAGCGCCTTGTTCACACTCTGAGCGGCCTGGGAGAGACGGGCAAACGCGTGAGCACTCAGTGCCATGTGTCAGTGCTATGGTTGAGCGCAAGAATACAATGTCCTACTATGTTCACATTTACGTGCACACACGCCGAGTCACTTTCCCAACCTTTGAATTAAAACCCAGAAGATGAGGGGCGGGAGGGCAAGCACAGAGGAAATGCTGCCGCCAGGCAAGCAGGCAGCCCTGGCCCATCCCTGGCACCACACAAGGTCCCTGAGCACTGCTGGGTGGGGCCCAAACCTCTCCAACCTCCCAGACAAAATGTCCAGCAGACCAAAGAGAACCAAGACATGTCAGGTTCCCTGAAACATGATTATAAAGCGCAGTGACCTGGAAACAAACCGAGTATCATCTGGAAGGATGCAGATCTATAAGCTGGTGAAACCACAGCTCATCACACCACACCACACCACACCACACAGCCATAGCACATGCGCGCATGGACGCGCGCGCACACACACACGCACACACATGTATGTGAAAGGCCTAAGCAGGACCTTATGGAAACAAAGTGGCCAAACGGACAAAAAGAGAAATCGATTTTGTAAACCAGTAAATGATTCAAGATAGAAACTGTCTGTATCACTGTTCCACGTGTTTCTTCTTTTTAAAATAAAGCCTGTTAGAAAAAAAAGTGGGCCAGAGACAGCCAGGAGTGCCCCCTCTCCCAAGTAAAGACAAAACAAAAAACAAATGAGAACAACAAAAGATTGGAAAATACAAGAGCAAAGGTTTCTAAAGAAGGGGCCGGGGAGAGCACAGTGGGCAGAGCATTTGCCCGAGAGCCTGAGTGCAGGGCCGGGACTGAGGGCTGAGCATTGCTGGGTGTGGCCCAAACACCAAAGTGAAAAAAAAATTTCTAAAGAAAAAGCATCATAGGGGTGCTGGAGCGATAGCACATTGGGTAGGGCATTTGCCTTGGATTTGGCCGACCCAGGTTCGATTCCCAGCATCCTATATGGTCCCCCGAGCACTGCCAGGAGTAATTCCTGAATGCAAAGCCAGGAGTAACCCCTGTGCATCGCTGGGTGTGACCCAAAAAAAGCCAAAAAAAAAAAAAAGAATAAAAAGCATCATGGGGCTAGAGTGACAGCACAGCGGGTAGGGCTTTTGCCTTGCACGTGGCTGACCCGGGTTCGATTCCCAGCATCTCATATGGTCCCCTGAGCACCACCAAGAGTAATTCCTGAGTGCAGAGCCAGGAGTAACACCTGAGCATCGCTAGGTGTGACGTAAGAAGGGATTTTTTTAAAAAAAAAGCATCTAAAACTGATTCCTATAGGCACCTGAATCTAATTTTATTAAGATCCTTAAAGGGAAGGTTAAAGATTGTGCTGAGATATTTTATGGTGACTAAAAACACTTCTTTCTATTTGTTTTCTGGGGCCACACCCAATGCAAATGTTGCTGGGGTGACCCCTAGTGTGACTTGGGGGGTCCTCTGGGGCATGGGGATGAAGCCTGGTGAGCCGCACACAAGGCCAGCTGCATCCCACCAGCATCCCACCGGCTGCACTATCACTGCCTACAGCACTCAAGAGAGTCTCAGAGTAGGGAATGTGCTCACTCACGCCTCGTGTGATCTAGGCCCTGGGTCTGATCCCAGCTCACCACCCTTCCTAGCACTGCCTAGTGTAATCCCCACAATCTCAAACAGTTTTAGATAAAAAAAAGTCAACATATTAAAATTTTCAATTCATGTTCTCCAACAAGTATATTCTAAACTACAAACTATGGTTATATAAAATATGGATGATTCTTCAAATTTTAGCCCAATCCTCAAACTCACCTTTATCTCCAATGTTATGTCAAGGTACGGATCAAACGTATCTGAAACACCTTTGCAATTTAAACACTTGACTGTAATAAAAATAAAATGCAAAGATAAGCAAAATGCAGTCACTATGGCAGCCCGACTGTTGAAAACGAAAGAACACAAAATTACTGCTATCAGATTAAAAAAAAAATGAAAACAAGGTACATTCTGCTTATATAGTATTGGGGAAAAGATTAACAGTACACTGTGTTGGTCCAAGGTCATAAATTTGGCCCCAACATATTGCTGGTGGGAATGTAAGCTGGGATGGCTACGTGGAAAGACAACATGGTAGGACCCACTTTGATTCAGAAACTCTAAATATTTGCCCACAAATGTCAGAACGTAAAGGCAAATTACAGGATATTCACCGAGGAACTGATGGTGATAAAAACAAACCAGAAAGTCCCTGAGAGCTTCCAGTCGGGAACTAAACTCAAGGGCCTATGGCCACCGAAAACCTGGGTGTGGAAATGCTGAAAGACTTCAAGTTTGAGGACATGGACAGCATGTGGCCAGGACAACTGGATGGACAGAGGCACCCTGGGCAAGAGCCCTGGAGGGGAGGCCCAGAGAGCAGGGCCCCTTGACCCACACGCCCGTCTCACTTCATTAAGTGGGGAAACCCACACTTACCTCTTGATCGCAAGTATCCGCCAAATATCTGACAGACGAGTGTGGTAGCCTGGGTGTGTCTGTCTAACCTGAAAGACAGGCAAGCAGTGATAAGAGTCCAGCAGGAGTCAGGATGCTACGGACGCCAAATGCCTGCACATCTCAGGAATTTGCCCGGCACAGCCTCCGGTAAAAAGGCACTAGAGTCTTATCCTGACAGGGAGTGAGGTGTGGGGCAGTGGGGCAGTCGGCGGGGGTGAGGCCTGCAGCCAGAAGTGAGTGGGCTGGGCACATCTGGGAGTGCCAGAGTCTGCCTGATGCCCCTGCGCTGGAACTGGGCAGGAGACTGACCAGGAGGGTCAGGTCTGGTTATGTTTGCTTCTCGGATCTTCCTCTTGAGTTTGCATTTAGGTTTTAGGGAAGAAATCGCAGAAACTGGGAACTGACCAGGAGGAAGATTCAGGGAGCAAACAGAGATTTTGGAGGCTAGAGGTGGAAGGAGAGACAGCCAGGTATGGCCAGAAAGGATAGTCATCTCCAAGTCTGGGGACGGGTGCTGATCTAGTGGGACCGAGATAATGAACAGGGTCATTCTATTCGACCTTCTTTACAATCATGTTTGTAAGAATGTTGAGGGGAAAACAGCCAACCAACACAGAACAAAATCCCACCCTGCAGGGGTCCAGTGTAGCTCTCCAGCTATCTGCTTAAGTTAGCATCTGCTCCAGCTAGCATTGACAGACGTGGCCCACAACGTTAAGTGAGGTCTAACTGTACTCAGGAACTAAACAGTATCAACAGCATGTTCGTGTTTATTTCCCTGACATCTACAATAAAATTCAAACTGCTAGACCATGGAAAGTTTCCCTTGCTTTCAAATAATGCTGATCATTATTTGAAAAGAATGCCTGTCCAAAGCAGTGGGCGACGCGCAGCGAGGCCCCGGGAGCCCTGCCCCGACCCTGAGCCCCTGTGCTTACTTGTTGCTGCCGTTCAGGCAAGCTTTCTGCATAGCATCGACAGTGTACTGCAGGAATTCGTGGGCATCTTCTTGGTTTCCAAAACGGAAGTGCCTGGCTATCCCTGTAAAGACAATGCTTTGTTATAGCGAGCGAGTCCAAGCCGCACCTCAGACCACAGGGACGCTAGAACATGCTCGCTTTAGACAAAATAGCACTCAGACAAATGAGCTCCAGGACAGCCAGAACTAGGCTCTGGAGGTGACCAGGCGCCCAGAGGCCGCAGTCCCTGCAAGCCACAGAACAGCCCTGACACTGGAGTGATTCCAAGGGCTGGATTTAATGCCTCAATAATATGTTCAACACATCTTAAATCTGGAGCTAGATTCCTCAAGACAACCCATGCGGATCAACAGGCCCGAATCTCAGTCATACCCAGATCACCTGGGGACCACTCTCTGACACATCGTAACTTCCCCTTGTTCTGTTTGTTGCCAAACCTGGCTGTGCTCAGGAGCTATTCCCAGGATTTAAACCCAGGTCTCATGCCTCCAAAGCCTGCTCTCCACCTTGCTCTCTCCAGCCCCCATTTTCTCTTTTCTTGCTGGCAGTGCCCAGGAGGGAGCATGTAGCCACACACACCCAAGGTAAGCATCCTGCCCTGGCTTCTTCCCTGGCCCTCGGCACATCTTGTTTTAGTTTGGTTGGTTGGTATTTCGGGTCAGATCTGGTGGTTCTCAGGGCTTACTCCTGGCTCTGTGCCCAGGGATCACTCCTGCTGCAGCTTGGAGGACGATCTGTGGTGCCAGAGATGGGGCCTGGGTCAGCTGCATGCAAGGCAAGTGCCCTGCCATATTATTGCTCCAGCCCACAGCCCTACTTTGAATGGACTAAATGGTTTCAAGACAAATGGCATAAACACACAGAAATAAAATCTCCCTTTCCCTTCTGGAGACGTGTGTGTTCGCTCTTGAACCGTTATCTCTCTTCCACTCCCCTCACATCTCTAAAGTTCTTTCAATAAAAAATATTTTGCTTTGGGGCTGGAGCAATAGTACAGTGTGTAAGGCATTTGCCTTGCACATGGCAGACCCGGTTTCAATCCGTGGCACCCGTTATGGTCCCATGAGCCTGCCAGGAATGATCCTTAATTGCAGAGTCAGGAGCCAGCCCTGAGCACTGCCAGGTGTGGCCCAAAAACAAACAAACAAAAATACTATTTTGCTTCACACACACACATAGTAAAATATTGTAATAATATACAAAAAAATATGGTAAATATTTGCATATGTATATATTTCAGCTTGAATCACTTGAAATCACCAATATTTTAATTATTCAGATCTAGAAACATGGCAATGCTATGATTCAACTGAATATAAATGCTTGTTCATATGCATACGCAAACCCAGAGCAAAGACATTTTTTTGAAGACCATCTGAGATAGTAATCCCAGGTGGGGGAGATGCGCAAAGGCCTGGGTGCATTTGCAGCTGGAGCCCGTTCGGCGGGAACGACCTAATTCTGGGCTGGGTATAGTGGAGGACCACCATCTGTGACTCAAAAGCAAATGATAAAGGGAAAAAAATTAATCATATCCACAGTAGCACTATCGCACTGTCCTCCCGTTGGTCATCGATTTGTTCGAGTGGGCCCAGTAACGTCTCCATTGTGAGACTTGTTACTGTGTTTGGCATACTGAATACATCATGGGTAGCTTGCCAGGCTTTGCCGTGCGGGAGAGATACTCTCGGTAGCTTGCTGGGCTCTCCAAGAGGGGCGGAGGAATTGAACTCATATCCGCACAGTATTTAAAATTAAATAAATACCAGCTAAATTTTGCTAGAATCCAATAGTTTGAGGATGGTTTTTTTGTTTGTTTTTTATTATGACCAACCCAGTGGTGCTCAGGGCTTACTCCCGGCTCCTTGCTCAGGAATCACTTCTAGAGGGCCTGGGGGACCATACGGGGTGCTGGGGCTCAGCGACGTGCAAGGCAAGTGCCCAACCTATGCTGTACTATTGCTGCGGCCCAGGATTCAATAGCTTAAATTTTTTTTCAGTGCCAGAGTGATAGTACAGTAGGTAAAGCATTTGCCCTGCAGGCATACAACCCAGGTTCAATCCCCAGCACCACACATGATCTCCAAAGTACCCCCTGGAGTGAGTGATCCATGAGTGCAGAGCCAGGAGCAAGCCCAGAGCACACCCAAAAAAGAAACAAGATTTCCAGCAGAGATATGTCTCAAACATTAAAACATATGCTCTGGATGTACAAGTCTCTGGAATCAATCGCTGGCATGTTGTGGTCCCCTGAATACTTCCAGGTGTGACCATCTTCACCATAAAAAAACAAAAAAGCCCTCACCACCACAAACAAAAAAAACCCCAAAATTCTTGCATTGTCTACTATAGTCTGCTAATAATGCTGAGGGCCAATATAACACCTCTTTAATCTTTAGCAGCTTTTTAAGCAAAAGGATTATAGTTTGTCACTCTATAATTATCCACCACTATAATTACCCAGCTAGATACCAGATTGAGGACATTTTTTTGCATGCGTTTTTTTCATTTCAACTTCGTTCATTAAGATGATGCAGTTCATTGCAAAACATATGCAAAACATGTGTAAGAAAATTTCATGCAACGTAACAGGAGTACTACAACAGGAAATATTTTAAGTAATTTAAAACAGTACTAATTTTTCTTCAAGAGTATACTTAACTTTATTTTGGTAATTCCTGCTACTATGTATTCGTTCACTGGCCTAAAACCAATTCAAAGCTATTTAAAGAAACCCGTGGGACAATATTAAGAGTTACTATTACTCGGTACACAAATCCAGTGTGGTCGGGGAGGGGTGGCGCTTGTGGGCACGTGCTCTGTGCACCCCAGCCCGAGAGTGAGTCCCGCGCCAGCAGAGCCCCGGAGCCTGTCCTCAGGCCCGGCCGGGCAGCCGACACAGCCAGCCCAGCACTGATCATCAATTACCAGTTACGTGACTAACAAATTGAGATTCGAAAAAAATGTTAATTGATTATGTGAAACTCACGTCTTTTCTATTATAGAGTCTTGTGCTTTATGTTTCAAATTGTACACAGAGTAAATGTTTTCCTAAAAATTGATTATTAATCAAAGACATAAGCACTTAGGACAAACTGCTTCTGTAGGACACAAGGGGCTCATCTTTTACCAGCTGAGCCATTAAGATCAATTAGCTAATAAATGCTCATGTAAACTCCTATTGCTGGTACTTACGCCGCATCTCGTTAATGACGAACATGGGTTTGATAACGTCCCCAGGATTACTGAGTGCCTGGGTGATGTGCGCCTGCATTGTACACATCATGCAGAATCCTTCTGCGTGGCCTGAAAGAGAACAGATGACAATTCCCCGGATTAGCTGTCTGCATGTCATCAATAGAGAGCACACGGCTGAAGCAAGAAGGATGGGCACCGTACTGGACACTCAACCCTGCACTTGTGTTTACTTTTAAAGGTAAAAGGTAAAGGTAAAGGCCCTCCCGTTGATCATCGATTTGCTCGAGTGGGCCCAGTAACGTCTCCATTGGAGACTTTGTTGTTACTGTGTTTGGCATATCGAATACTCTCGGTAGCTTGCCGGGCTCTCCCAGAGGGGCAGAGGAATCGAACTCTGGTCGGCCATGTTGGCCGCTTGTAAGGCGAACGCCCTACCGCTGTGCTATCACTCCAGCGTTTACTTTTAATTTTGCTAATAGACCCAAAAGCTGAGTCTGCAGTGCATGCGCTTTCCAGGCAGGAGATGGGCCAGAACTCGCGATCCACGTGGTGCCAAGAGGCGTCGGTGGCTCACCCAAGACTGCTCTGTTTCACACCAAAGCCTAGACTCTCGACGGTTCTGTGGGAAAAGACACTTCCCCTTATACGGCACCAGAAAGACTGGAACAGTTAAAACAAGTCTTTCCAGAGACACTGGGTATATAGGGAAAGCACAGTGCATCAAGACAAGGATACTCAAGCTCAAAGAGAAGCTGAAGACAAAATAATAGCAAAGATGCAAATGGAAGCAAAGGAAAAAGACAAAAAAATGAAGAACGTCTAGAAGGATCCAATTCCACTGGAAGATGATTTTTTTCTTTTTTGGGTGATGCCTGGCAATGCTAAGGGTTTACTTCTGGCTCCACACTCATGAATTACTCCTGACGGTGCTCTGGGGACCATATGGGATGCAGGGAATTGAACCTGGGTCAGCTGCATGCAAGGCAAACGCATCCCCACAGTACTATCACTCCAGCCCCCTCCACTGCAAGGTCAAGCGGGTCAGGACAGCCGAGGGAGCAGAGTCTGAGGTCAGGCCGGCAGTGACACCAGGCATACTCGTTGGTGGGGGTGTGGGCTGGAATGACAGACCCATAAAACGTAGGGTTGAGTTTTTTTGGGTTTTATCTTGGTTTGGGGGCTACAAACCCAGCAGTGCTCAGGCATCATTCCTGAGGAGCTAGGGGAACTATGTGAGATACGCCAAGAATTGAATCTGGTTGGCCGCGTGCAAGGCAAACGCCCTCCCTGCTGTTCTATCACTGTACTTTAAATATGATTGATAATATTGTAAATCTCAGGAGTCGGAAAGATAGTACAGCAGGAAGACTGTTTGCCTTGCATGCGGCCAATGGGTTCAATCCCAGGCACCCCATATGGCCCCTTGAGCCCTGCCAGGAGGGATCCTTGAGCACAGAGCTAGGAAAAGAATCCTAAATCCTGCCAGGTGTGGCCTAACAACAACAACAAAATGGGAGTGCCGGAGAGACAGAACAGCAGGTAAGGTGCTTGCCCTGTGTGCAGCCGACCTGGATTCCATCCCTGACACCCCATATGGTCCCTGCGCACTGCCAGGAGTGATCCCTGAGAACAGAGGCAGGAGCAAGCCTTGAGCACAGTTGGGTGTGACCCAAAAACAAAACAAACAAAAATATTGTAAATCCAGTACAACCCACATTGTACAAGAACCAACCATAGATGTCCAAAAAGCTCAGAATGTCCACATTTCTTTCCTCAAAATTACCTATATCAAGACAAATCAAGGTTATAAGGCATTTGCCTTGCATGAAGCCAACCCAGATTCGATCCCCAGCATCCCACATGGTCCCCTGATCACTGCCAGGAGTAATTCCAGAGTGCAGAGTCAGAAGTAACCCCTGACATCAACAGGTGTGACCAAAAGAGTCAATAAATAATTAAGACAAATCAAGGTGAAATGACCAAAACTCAAAACAAAGCAGTGAAACGGCTGGGGGCAAGTCCCTTTCACCAAGCTTCGGAGGAGAAACTACAGACTAGGAAAAGAGTGGAATGGAAGGTTCATTGTACTAAAGAAAAAAAAGTCAGCCAAGAATTTCTTTTTTTTTCCTTATTTTTTTTTGGGGGGGTGTCAAACCCGGCAATGCACAGGGGTTACTCCTGGCTCATGAGCTCAGGAATTACTCTTGGCGGTGCTTGGGGGATCATATGGGATGCTGGGAATCGAACCTGGGTCGGCTGTGTGCAAGGCAAATGCCCTACCTGCTGTGCTATCATTCCAGTCCCCAAGAATTTCTTTACCTATCAAAATCAACATCATTCAAATGACTTTTAGAGGAAATTTTTTCAAAAGGCAATCATGTCTGGCCATCAGACAAAGGTCACGAATCTCAAGCAAGGGTACTAGCGGCAAAACAGCAGCAGCAGCAGAACAAGTGCTTCGAGAGATGGCGATCAGAGGGGAGGAACGTGTAGAGCCTGCGCGCAGGGGACACGCCCGGATGGCAGCAAAGACTGTATTTAGACGAGTGTGACACAGCGACAGGCTGAGCACATGCCCCATACGTGCCAAGTCCTGAGTCTGATCCCTGAGACCACAGGGCTTCTTGCCTGTTGGGTGTGGCCCAGTGCCCCCAACCACTGAGCTGAGACTCAAGTGTCTGGTTTATACCACCACGTCCAGAATTGCCAGGTACGGCTGCAGGCACCTCCTATGCAGAAAGCAACTTTTTTTTTTCTTTTTGGGTCACACCCGTGTTACTCCTGGCTCTTCACTCAGGAATTACCCCTGGCAGTGCTCAGGGGACCATATGGACCATATGGGATGCTGGGAATTGAACTCGGGTCGGCCGCGTGCAAGGCGCTCCAGCCCGCAACTTTTTTTTAAGTATGAAATGAGGGGGTCAGAGGGACAGTACAGCAGGGAGGGCACTTGCCTGGCAGCAGCTGAGCCAGGTTTATCCCCGGCATCCCATATAGTCCTGCAAGCACACCAAGAGTAATTCCAAGTGCAGAGCCAGGAGTAAACCCCTGCATATTGTGGGCAGTGCCCCCCAAACGACAACAACAACGAAAACTATAAAATGATGGGGGGGTACCCCTCAAATGATAACCACAAAATTAAATTCTGGAGGAGAAAATTTTACAGAAAAAAAAGAATGAAAGAATCATCAAGGAAGGGCCAGAGAAAGGGCTCACGGGACTGGGGCACATTCGCGCTTTGCGTGCAAGAGGCTCAGGTCCTGTCTCTAGCACCACGATTCCCTGGGCACTGCCAGAAACCACCCCGGAGCACTGCACCAGGAGTAGTCCCTAAACGCAGCAGGGTGGCCCACCCCCTCAAAAAAAGAATCACCAGGAAAAGTGATCCATAAGACAAGACAGAAGCAAACAGGGAGAGGGAACACAGACAGACACACACAGACACACACACAAACACACAAACACATGGAAAGTCATTAAACGAAGTATTTAGAGAGATGGGCTTAACACATATGCAGAGAAGCTTCCACTCCAAAGAGGATCTCTGGGGTTGGAGTGATAGCACAGCGGGGAGGCCATTTGCCTTGCATGCAGCCAACCCGGGTTCAATTCCCAGCATCCCATATGGTCTTCCGAGCACCGCCAGGAATAATTCCTGAGTGTAGAGCCAGGAATAACTCTTGAACATCGCTGGGTATGACCCAAAAAGAAAAAAAAAAAGAAAAGAGGATCTCTGCTCTCCGCACAGAACACTCGAATAGAGCAGGGCTGGGGTACGTGCCTCCTGCTGTGGAGGGGCAGGATGTGACCAGGGCAGAGCACAGGCCGTGTGTAGGTGAGGTCCTGGCTTCATTCTCCAGGATGATGTGGGCCCCCAAATACTGTTTCGGCCCTGGTGACCCCCCAAATATTACCAGGAATGGTCCTGATTGCCTGCCCTAATTTATTTTGCTTTTTGGGTCACACCTGGTGATGCTCAGGGGTAAGTTAGTTACCCCTGACTCTGCACTCAGGAACTACTCAAATCAAACCCGGGTTGGCGCGTGCAAGGCAAACGCACTCCCCGCTGTCCTATCGCTTCAGCCCCTGCCTGCCCTTATTTTTAAAGAAAAGAAAAAAACCTTACTAGGTTCATCAAAGAGAAAACTGATAAGAAATCATCAGAAGCATGGGCTGGAAAGCTAGCAGAAGAGGCTGAGTGCAGGCTCTGCGTGCCAAAGCGTCCCCAGTACCATCTAGTCCTCCATGCTCCAGAATGACCCCGAGCACAGGCAGGTGTGGGCCCCAAACAAAAGGGAAATGAAATCAGAAACAAGAGTCCAAGGCCGGAGACACAGTACAGTGGGTAGGGCTCCTGCCTGGCATGCGGCTGACCTGGGAGGAATCCCCAGCATCCCATAGGGTACCTCAAGCCCATCACGAGTATCTCTGAGTACAGAGCCACGAGTAACCTCCAAGCATTGCCAGGTGTGCCCCCCAAAAAACAAAAAACAAAACAAAAAAGGTCCAGAGAGTGCAGTAAGGGATGTGCCTTACATGTGGCAGACCCAGGTTCAATCCACATATGGTGGCCCCTAAGCTCCTCGAGGAGTGACCCCGGAGCACAGAGGGTATGGCCCCAAAGCAAAACAAAAAATTACAAGTATAAGAAAGTTACAACAGAAAACTGATACAAAGGATCACAAAACACCTGATACAAAGAATCCTAAAACACTGCTATCCACAGAGAGATGCAAACTGAGCAGCCTAGAGGAACAGACACATTTCTGTAATCATACACCCCCCAAAAACTGACGGGAGAGAAAGCTTGGAGCATCCGAAGCACAGACACTGCAACAATAGCCAAAGCCCCTAAGGGTAGAAGAAGCACAAGAGCCACAGCCCTGGCTCCACAGGCCCGAGCAAGCACGACCAAGGTCTTAACAGTGCCCCAGCCACCAGGAGCACAGGGCCAGGAGCTGCCTGAGGGCCCAGAACACCACCCCGGGAACAAACAGAAGCAAAAAAGTCCAGCTGGGCCCAGAACACTGATGACTAAGTACTGGAAACCATCTGAAGAATAATACCCATCTTGTTTAAATGCTTCCAAATTATCAGAGAGAGAAAAA